ACTAAAAAATAAATATTAAAAAAAATTCTCTCTCTCTCTCTCTCTCTCTCTCTCTCTCTCTCTCTCTGAGAGAAAAAAAAAAGAATATAAACAAGGGGCTGGGGATGTTGCTCAAGTGATAACGCGCTCGCCTAGCGTGTGTAAGGCACTGGGTTCGATTCTTGGCACCACATAAAAATAAAATAAAGATACTGTGTCCATCTAAAACTGAAAAATAAATATTTTTTAAAAAAGAATATAAACAAATAAAGTGATTGTGTCCATCCACAACTAAAAATATTTTTTCAATATATTTTAGTTGTAGATGGACACAATATCTTTACTTAGTTATTTTTATGTGGTGCTGAGGATCGAAACCAAGACCCTCGCACATGCTAGGCGAGCACTCTACCGCTGAGCCACAACCCTAGCCCAAAATATTTTTTAAATAAATAAAAGATAAAAGCAAAACTTGTGGGGCTGGGGCTGTGGTTCAGCGGTAGCGCACTTCCCTGGCATGTGTGAGGCATTGGGTTCGATTCTCAGCACCACGTAAAATAATAAATAAAGGTCTTTTAACAACTAAAAAAAAAAAAAATTAAAAAAAAAAGAAAACTTGTCCCCTCACTCCTACATCACATATCCTTCAACCTACCACTCCTACTTCTTCTTTATCTCTGGTTAAAATAACCATTTATAACTTACTGTTTCTTTGAATGTAAGACAACCAATAATGATATCATTATTTTATGTATCACCAAAACTGAGGGGAACTGCCAATTATAGTTTTAAGATACCGATTTAAAAAATACTAAAATGTGAAAAGATATACTTAAAATCAACGAAATATGGTAATCTCATTCTATTAACATGAATTAGAACATGATGTATAAAAGATTCATTATCTATGTTCTTTTATATATATGTGTGTGTATATATTTATTTATTTATTTATTTATTTTTGGTTAGACATAATACCTTTATACTGTTTATTTTATTTTTACGTGGTGTTGAGGATCGAACCCAGGGCCTCGCGCATGCTAGGCAAGCGCTCTACCGCTGAGCCACAACCAGCCCAATATCTATTTTCTTTACATGAACTGAACGCTATACTCGACTGGGAACCTTTGGGTTAGTGTATTTTCCAAAGTGCTTTGCAAAGGTTTCTTAACAGGCACATATTGGGGCTGGGGTTGGGCTCAGTGGTAAAGCGCTTGCTTAGCATGTGTGGGTTCAATTGCTTAGCACTGGGTTCAATTCTTAGCACCACATATAAATAAATTAATAAAATAAAGGTCCATCAACATCTAAAAAAATATTTTAAATAAATAAATAAATAAAATAGGGGACTGGGGATATAGCTCAGTTGGTAGAGTGCTTGCCTCGCATGCACAAAGCCCTGGGTTCAATCTCCAGCATAAAAAAGGAAGGAAGGAAGGAAGGAAGGACAAAAATAAAGGTATCGTGTCCATCTACAACAAAAAATTACTACAAAAATAAAAAATTTTAAACAACAGTCCTTATATAAAACCTACTGAATTGTGTCTTCCTTCATTTGACACTATGAAAACTGATACTACAAGTATTTCATTGACCTGCTGGCAGGAAGAATGGCATTTTAGTTTTAATTAGAAACTTCACACAAACCTCAGACAACTGAAGAGAAGCAAAAAAGTTTGCATTTTCTGATATGTTCTTGAGTCTCTTCCTTTCATATGGTGACAATCCTGAAAAATCATCCTATAAAATTACACCAAAAATAATGTTATTTTACATAATCATTTAAAGCAAAAACACCTCATGAAACCAGGTCTTTCACTGTCTACATGTGTACCTTCTTTCAAATTGTACCCCCTCTATTCATTTGATAATGTCTTACCAAATAGCACATAATCTTTGCTGCATTGGATACTGAGAGAGTCTGAATTTGTGATAATCACAAAGTATTTGCATGTATTCCCAACTGAATACGAAGCGATCTGATATCAGAAGTCAAGTTCAAAAGCTAGATCTGAACTTGTGATCCTCCTCCCCCAGCCTCCCAAGCCACTGGAATTACAGGTGTGCACCACCATGCCCAACTAAAAGTTACTTTTATTAAACAAATGATTCCTATTAAACACAGAATGAATAAATGCATTTGTTGCTATCTCCTCCTAAAAACCCACAAATACAACACTGAAATAAATATGAAAGTGAGATAAGATCCTAAAAGTTTTTAGAGGAAAAAATAACAATCAAGACTCAGAGAGGCACTAACTTCTCAAGATTATGAAAAAGCCATAGGGGCTGCGGCTGTAGCTCAGTGGCAGAGTGCTTGCCTTGCATATGTGAGGCACTGGGTTCGATCTTCGCACCATATAAAAATAAACAAAAGAAAAAAAGAAAAAGCTATAAGACAATAATACATTAAAAATGCTAAGAATGGGGGCTGGGACTATAGCTCAGTGGTAGAGCACTTGCCTCACACATGCTAGGCACTGGGTTTAATCCTCAGCACCACATAAAAATAAAGATACTGTGTCCATCTACAACTAAAATAAATTAAAAAAAAAAAAAAAAAAAAAAGCTAAGGATGGCCAGGCATAGTGGTGCATGCTTGTAATCCCAGAGGCTCAGGAAGCTGAGGCAGGAGGATTTCAAGTTCAAAGCCAGCCTCAGTAACTTAGCTAGGCCCTAAGCAACTCAGGGATACCCTGTCTCTAAATAAAATATTAAAAAGAGCTGGGGATATGGCTCAGTGGTTAAGTGCCCTTGGGTTCAATCCCCAGTACCCCTCCCAAAAAAGAAAAGCTAATGAAAAACCAGGGCCTGGGGCTGTAACTCAGTGAAAGAATGCACACTTAGCATGTATGTGTCCCTGAGTTTGATCTGCAGCACCAGGAAGAAAAAAAAAAAAAGTTCTACTGGAAAGATTAAATTATTTTCAACTTATGATCATAACTCCAATTAAGTCATCATTTGAATAGAGCTAACGATTTTTCATATCCCTTTTTTCAGGAAGCTACTATAAGTTGCACTTTACCAAAATGAAAGAATAAGCCAAGAAAGAGAGAAACATGGATCGTAGGGACATAAGTTCCAGCACTGATGCAATAAAAGATGAAAATTCAAAAGAAAATGGTAAAGGGTAGGCCTTTACCATTGAATAAAATGGTTCTGAATGGAATAAGATGATGGAGAGCACTAAGAGAATTTTGTGCAGGCCAGAAGCAGTGTCACACACATATAATTCCAGCTATTCGAGGCAGGAGGATCACAAGTTCGAGGCCAGACTAGTCAATTAAGCAAGATCCTGTCTCAAAAATAAATAAATAAAAGGGTTAGGGATCTAGCTCAGTGGTAGAGCGAGCCTGGATTCAATCACAGTGCCACCAAAAAAGAGAGAGAATGATCATATTTTGTGAAGAAAAAAAATAAAATCAAGGCTTCAGGGACTGGGGTTGTGGCTCAGTAGTAGGGCATCTGCCTAGAATGTATGAGGTACTAGGTTAGATTCTGCACCACATATAAATAAATGAATAAAATAAAGGTCCATCAACATCTAAAAAATATATTTAAAAAAAAACTTCAGAAATCTTTGATTTTGAGCCCAGCACAGTGGCTTAGACATATTAACCCACTTCCTTAGGAGGTTGTGGCAGGAGGAACACTTGAGCCCAGGAGTTCAAGACCAGCTTGGACAACATAGTAAAATCCTGTCACAAAAAAAGAAAAAGAATCTTCTTCAAGCAGGAATGGTGGTGCACATCTATAATCCCAGCAATTTTGGAGGCTGAAGCAGAAGGATGTCAGGTTTGAGAACAGCCTTTTTTAAAATGGGACCCCATCTTTAAAAAAGGAGGAGGGGGCTGGGAATGTAATTTAGTGGTAAAGCACCCCTGGGTTTAATCTCCAGTACCAGAAGTAGAGAAGATCTTTGATTTATATTAAGAAGTCTTACAACACAGATAAAACTGGATTAAAGCTAATAAAAGTATAGAAAGGAAAAGTGTGTGTGTGTAATATGTGGTATAAGTGAAACAAATCCTTTCTTTATTTTTAAGCAAAGCTTAATTTTCCATATAAGTTAACAGCTACATTGGGGGACAAAAAAGCTAAAAAGGTTGAAAGTGCCATTTGTTGTTGAACAGCAACAGACAGAAAGGTGTGGGTCAGAAAATTGCCAGCTATTTGATTTTTGTTGTGTGTACATGTGAATTTTTCTTATATCAATACGTGCATGTATTACTGACCAAAATATTTGTCTCACATACATGCAAAATAGCCAGGCATGGTGGCACATGCCTGTAATCCTAGTGACTTGGGAGGTCGAGGCAGGAGGATCATGAATTCAAAGCCAGCCTCAGCAACTCAGCAAGGCCCTAAGCAACTCAGTAAGAGCCTGTTTCTAATAAAATATATATATATATATACAAAATAACATTGACAGCAAAGATGAAATTGGAAAGGTTCTATTTACCACTGCCTTTAAAAATGCCATCTTAAAGAAAAACACCACCATCAAATACAGTTGTACCCTCCTACCCAAAATTTTACTTCCCACAGTTTGTTACTTGAAGTCAACCATGGTTCAAAAGTAGCAAATGGACATTCCAGAAAGAAAATTATTTTATTTATTTTTCTTTGCAGTATTGGGAATTGAACCCAGGGATGCTCTACCACTGAGCTACATCCCCAGTCCTTTCTTTTTCTTCTTTTCTTTTTTTTTTTTTTAAGACAGGATCTCACTAAATTGCCCCTGCTGACCTTGAACTTGCATTTCTCCTGCCTAAGACATCTGAGTCACTGAGATTATAGGCTTAAGCCACCAAACCTACCCAGAAATAAACAATTTTTAAGTTTTAAGTTGTATGTCTGAAACCTCAGTTCTGTTCCATTCTGCCCAGTGTCCCTCTGTCTAGCATATTCAAACTGTATATGCTACCCACCTGTTAGTAGCTATCTGGGTTATGAGATCAACTGCAGCAATATTATAGTGCTTATGTTCAAGCAATCCTTATTTTACTTAATGGCCCCAAGACACAAGAGCAGTGATGCTGGCAATTTGGATATGACAGAGAAGCCGTATGGTGCTTCTTTTCTGTGAAAAGTTTAAAGTTCTCAGTATGAAAAGAAAAAAATACATCATGGGTAAGGACAGTACAATAATACTTTCTGAGGCCGAGTATGGTGACACATACCTGTAATCCCAGCTACTCCAGAGGCTGAAGCAGGAGGATTACCAGTTCAAGACCAACTTGGGCAATCTAGCAAGACCCCATCTCAAAAATAAAACTTAAAAAGGGATGGAAATGTGACTAAGTGGAAGAATATTTGCCTACCATAATCAAGGCCTTAGGTTCAATCCCCAGTTATGATGATGAATAAATCAGGCACAATAAGAAACTAATAAGAAATTATTTTAATGAAACAGAATTATAAATGATATCATATGGTAAACTATGTGAATGTAGCCTGTCTCTCTACAAATATTTTATTATACTCACCCTTCTTGTTTACCATAAATAAGTGAAACCTCAGAAAGTAAAACTGTGGAAAGTAAAACCACAGATATGGGACCCTACAATAGTATACACAAGGTTTGGCAACATCCATTATTTTAGGCATCCACTGGGGTCTTGGAATATATATCTTCCCCAGAAAAGAAGGGACTATTGTAAACCCAGATGTGATGCACTGAGAACACATTTGCTTCTGAGACCATTCCCAGTAACACAAAACCTTTAATCATGAGAAAATGTCAAACAAACCAAAATTGAAGGAAAATATTTAAAATAACTGTCCAGTACTCTTTGAGTATTAAAGACATGAAAGATTGAGAAAGTGTTACATAGTGGAGGAAACTACAGAGACACACTATCTAAATCCTGTGTGATCCTGGCGTGGGTGGTCAACAGGAAAAAATATATGACTGGAAAAACTGGTGAAATCCAAACTCTATTTAACAATATTGTATCAAGGTTATGTAAGATGTTTGTAAGTTGGATGAAAAATATTCAGGATCTCCCCAAAACTATCTTTGCAACTCTTCTATAAGCCAAAAATTATCTCAAAAATTTTGTTTATTTTCTTTTTGTTGCCTCAAAATTTAAAAAAAAAATCAACTGCTAAGAAATAATTTATAAAATATTTAACAGAAGAGTTGGGAAATAAAATTTAGAAAATTTCCCAAAAAATAGAATAAAATCTTATACTTGCAAGGCAAGGCTCTTATCTGTAATGCAGCAAAGTCTTCCTTCATTTGGGGAAAAAAATAAGCTTATAAACTAAATACTGTTCCTAAAGCATGGAACCACAAACTCTTAGTCATATTACTCTAAAAAGTTAATAAGTGTGGGGGATTATAACTCAATGATAGAATGCTGGTCTAGCAGGCACAAGAACCTAGGCTCAATCCCATCCCTGCAAAAGAGAAAAGATAATGAAAAAGAAGGCCTGGGGATGCAGCTTGGTGGTAAAGTGCTTGTCCGGTATGCACAAGGCCCTGGGTTCAATCCTCATGACCACAAAACAACACAACTCAAACACACAACCCACCAACAACTAAAACAAAAATTTAAGGAGCTGGGGTTGTGGCTCAGTGGTAGAGCGCTTGCCTAGCATGTGTGAGGCACTGGGTTCAATTCTGAGCACCATGTATAAATAAATGAATAAAATTAAGGTCCATCCATATATTTAAAAAAAAATTTTTTTTCAAGTACATTTTTAAAAAAGGAAGAGAACACGCCAAGCCCAGTAGCGCACCCACACTCCTATAATCCTAGCCGCTGGGGAGGCTGAGTCATGAGTTCAAAGCCAGCCTCAACAAAAAACAAGGTGCTAAGTAACTCAGTGAGACCCTATCTCTAAATAAAATACAAAATAAAGCTGGGGATGTGGCTCAGGGATCAAGTGCCCCTGAGTTCAATCCCAGGTTACCAAAAAAAAAAAAGGAAGAGAAAATAATAAAATGTTCTATTTAAAATGTTATAATTTAGTTTGTCCTAAGAAAAACGTATTCTATGCATTTATGGTTCTGCTTGACTATCTCCCTCCTGCTGATCATATTTTCTCACATCAAATTAAATCCATTTTATATTAGCTTCTTACACTCTAAGAGGCCAAAAAGATTCTGACCAGTGGTTCTCAAAGCTCCATTCCAGACCAACAGCATGGACCAACAGCACCAAAGTCTCCAGGAAACCACATTAAAAATGCAAATTCTATGCTCCACCTAAATCCAATGCTCTACAACTGTGCTATATTCCCAGCCTTTTTCTTTCTTTTTTGAGACAGAGTGTTACTAAATTGCCAAGGCTGGCCTTGAATTTGAGATCCTCCTTTCCTCCTAGCCTCAAACTCTAGAGTCACTGGGATTAAAGTAACTGGGAGTACAGGAGTGAGCCACCATGCCGACCCTCTCCAGGTAATTCTGATACTGGCTAAATTCTGAGAACCACTGATTTATCCAATCTTCTCATTAGGGAGGTTATTGGCTTAAAGGAACAAGATTTCTTAAAAGTTGACAGGCCTAGAAACTAGGCTCCCAACCACTATTTCCATGCACTTATGATTTACCCTTTTACTGTCCCACATGGGTCTGGATTCTTACCTATGGGACAATAATGCATAAAACAAATGCCTATTTCATAACAAAAACTTTTCAATTATCATGTCTCTCTTTCCCTAGCTTCATTTTCTGTTGCTCTAGTTCCATCAACTTTCTGTCATGTGACATGGTTTATCTTGTCTTGCCTGAAGCTGCCACTCAGAAAGCCAGGAGAACCACCCAATCCATGTTTTTACCCTGGACCCCGTGACTCAGATGTCTGTAGTACTGGGGTTTCGCTTTGAAAAACACTGTCACTTCTCCTAAGGGAAAAACTACTTAAAAATTAAAAAAAAAAAAAAAAAATACTGCCTAAGCAGAAGACAAAAGAATTAGATTCCTGTCATGTGAAGCTAATTAAAAAAAAAAAATTTTTTTAAAAAGGATATTCAGGCAAAAATAATAATAGATTCCTTAAACTGACTCCAACCATTTAACAGAACTAATGAGTATTTCTCTTTTGTGTTAACTCCACTTCATTTGTCTCCTTTTGTTTTTAAAAGAAATGCAATCAATTAATGATTGTTTTCCTACTCTGACATCAAAGGTCAATTGCATATGTCCCACAGGCTGAAAACTTCTGGTAAACCATGCATAAATATGTAAAGATTAAGGGCTGGGGATATGGCTCAGCAGTAGAGCACTCACTTAGCACTTGCAAGGACCTGGGTTTGAACCTCAGCACCACATAAATATAAATAATAAAACAAAGGTATTGTGTCCAACTACAACTAAAAAATAAAATTTAAAAAAAGTAAAAGTTAGCAAGGCACGATCAAGTATGAGTAAGCTCAAAAATAAATGCAATAAACTGAGAGGAAAAAAAGGGAACTAAAATTAATCCAAGGAGGTTATCTGATAAATATTTAAAACACAAAATTTCCACTAAACACATTAAATGATAAAATAATTTTATTGCACTTAAGGCCTTTGATGACCTTATAGAACTTCAAATTTCAAAACAGCCAAGAAAAATTAGAACTACTAATTAAATTCTTACCAGGCCAGGTGTGGTATCTTCATCACTGCTTTCCATATCAACGTTGCAAATCACAGCATCTGAACTGTTCTTGTGTTCTAGTTTGTTACTTTCAGCATGAATATCTAAGGATGATTTTTGCAGAGTAGATTCTGCCTTGGAAGATATGGCTTTCATTTTTGGAATTAATTTTTTTTTGCAAGTTTTCTTTAGTTGAGTCTTCTTAAGCTTCTTACACATCACTGCATCATTAGAATTCTTTTCTAATAGGGATTTGGGGCACTTAAATTGACCTAACTTGTAATTAGTGAGTGAAAAGGGAGCAAGATAAACCTTAGCTGTTTTTCCTAGAACTGTAGTCTGTTCTGGTCTCAGAGATACGTGAACGACGTTTTGATTTTCTTTATATTCATTCACCTATTCAAGTTAATAAAGGAAAACAGTATTAGAAACCCAAGTCCTCTGCCTTTTCGTACAAGATCCCAACTAATCTCTGTTAACAAATCTAACCTCCATTTCATAATGACAACATAATTCAAACTGATAGCCTGTAAGGAAACTTCTTCCCCGCCTCCAAAATCTCTATTCATAATTCATTAGCTTGCATGAAATTACTGAGTTTTATTGAGCAAATTTCTTTTCCATAGGAGCTTACCAAAGGAATAAATAATGACTAGCGTTTGTAACTTAAGGGACTACTCCAACTGTCAGCTTCACAGTAACTTAATAAAGTTGCTAAAGCAAATGCTGGGGGCATGCGAAAAGGAGGTCCCAGGTCCCATCCTGTCATTATTTCTAGGATTGTTGACAACAGCCTTCCTGTTGTTCTGGCACTGAAGGCCTAGTTTTCCACAGAAAACCAGGACAGAGATCCTCGCTTATCCCGGGTGCCAGGCAACGGTGCCCAGCAAATCCCAAAGTCTGAGACAGGAGAAACAGAAAACCGTCAGGCCGCTTCTCACCTTCACCTGGTTACGCTGTCTGGAGCAAGCCTTCTCCTCGGCCTCCGCGCTTAACCACGACATCTTTCTACCGTTTAGCAGCTGACGTCTTCCCGCCAAGACTGCGCGGGAGCCCGGGGTGGGCGGGCCCTGGGGGAGTTCTAGAGGGAGGGGCAGCCCAGCCCGGATTTGAGCCCAGGGAAGAGGAGCCCCGCTCCGCTGACCTAGCAGGAGAACCGCCCCAATCCACGTTTTTACCCTGGACCCTGTGATTCAGGTGTCTGTGGTACTGGGGTTTCCGCTCTGAAAAACACTGGCGCGGGGCTGGGGCTGGGCCGTAGAGCATTTGCCTTGCACGTGTGAGGCCCTGGGTTCTATCCTCAGCACCACGTAAAAATAAATAAATAAAATAAAGGTATTGTGTCCATCTACAACTAAAAAAAAAAGAAGAAGATAGAAAGAAAAGGAAAGAAAGAAAGAAAGAAAAACACTGGCGCTTCTCCTAAGGGAAAAACTACTGCCATGCGACGTGAGTCTGGAAAAAGTTAAGACGCACGTAGGTGCCATATGGAACGGAGGGCAAAGGAAATAAAAATTAATATGCAATGCAGGCTTTACCTAGGCCACTGCTTCCTTGTAACTCCACTACCAAAAATGATGTTCCTTTATTATATCTTCTTCCTAGGAAAGGAAGCACCCCTGGCCACAAAATTTAAATCCTCTTACTTCAGCCTCCCAAATAGTTGGGATTATAGGAGTGCTCTACCGTCCCCAAAATAAATCTTTTAAAAATTATGTCTACTCTTTATGTCTCTATCTCTCCCCAAACTGCTTCCTTGGTTCATTAATTGAATCACCACTGTTCTTTGCTTGACACTTGCCAATTTGGTGACAGAGGTACTGAGACTGACCTGAGGGGCACCACTGAGTTACATCCCCAGCCCTTTTTATTTTTTGAGAAAGGGTCTCACTAAATTTCTGAGGCTGACTTGCAATCGTCCAGCTTCATTCTCTCCAATCACTGGGATTACAGGCAGGGCACACCATGCTCGGTGCCGACTTAATTTCTTTTCCCAATCAGGGCCCAGCTTTAAAATGTAAGCTTTAAAATAATTTGAAAGTTAATCATATTTGTTTTATCTTCAAGATCTTCCATGACCTCGTATGCATGGAATTTTCTCTTGACTCAAAAATTACTGATAAACCAAACTTTCAGTGACCCATATATACCGTACTATTTCTGGACTTCAAAGATTCTGCTCACGCTAACCCTTCTCTCCCCAAACATGGTAATTATAAAGCCCTTCCTAAGGTGAAGCGCGTTATGACTTCCAATAAGTCAATTTGTTTTACACAGCTCAGATGTAAATTGGAATTGCTTGTTATTATTCTAAAAGTTCTTTAAGACTTCCTAAATAAAACTCAGTTTTCTTGGACTTTAACAATAGTCCATACTCTTTTTCAGAGCCTAAACACAGTTAAAATAAGCACTTAATTACTTTGGAAATTAAATGCAATTTCCAGTCAAGAATGGATTTTAATACGCAGTTTCCAGAATCCCCATCCAATGGACGGATTAAACTAATTCTTCTGCGTGTTCAACAATCTAGACAAACTACAACTCGTTATCTCCTCAGTTTCTCGTTCACGGCTCTCTGGCCGAACCCGACGGCGCACGCCTGTAATCCCAGGGATTCTAGAGGCAGAGACAGGAGGATCGCCAGTTTAATAACATCCTCAGCAATTTAGCGGCACCCCGTCTCAAAATAAAAAATAAAAAGGGCTGGACATGTAGCTTAGTGGTAGAACGCCCTTGCATTCAATTCCCAGACCAAAAAGAACGAAACTTCCTTGCCCTACAGCCAAACCCAAAAGAAGCAATTTCCACCAGAAGGGGATTCCAAATCCTTCAAGGTTGAGGACCCGGAAGGCACGGAGAGGTGGGGGTCTGGAGGAGGGGTGGGGACGGGGGAGGGGCGCCTAAGGACATGCGCAATAACAGACTCAATTTTTAAGCGGCCAGCGCTCAGAAGTCCTCCAAAATCCCACAATCCTCTCGTAACACATTTCCGGTTTACCTAGCTCTGACGTAAAAGTAGTTTCTATCAGTTGTGCTGTCGTGCCCGGCGTACCTAGGTGGGAAGTAGTTTAGCTGTTCGTTGTGAGTGTTCGCTGCTTATAATCAGTCGAGTTTCGGGAATCAACACCGCTGCAATCAACATGTCGGTCCCAAGCGCACTCATGAAGCAACCGCCCATTCAGTCTACGGCTGGGGCCGTCCCCGTTCGCAATGAGAAAGGTAACTGTGCTCACCCCTCTCCCAGTCAGATTTTACCTCTCCCAGCCTCGGCATCCTCCAAAACTCCCCCGGCCGACCACCCGAACCCCGCTGGCCTCATTTCTTCTGCTTTTCCACACTAAAGTCGCACCCGTTCGCGTTGTCTTGGTTGAGGAAGGGATCTACTTTGCATCATATCTTGTTCTTGTGATCTGTCTGCTCTCGTACGGCAAGCACCCCTCTATTCTATTGGCCTCCACAAATTTCTTACATAGCAGTCTGTTTAGGCTGCTTTGATAACTCTTATCAAGTATTGTAGTTATTTACGTGTCTATCTTCCCCTAGAAGACCATAACTTCTTTCAGGCCGGGAACCGTGTCTTCGAATAGAAAGTTGTGTAAGGTAGTACCCCAACTTTAAGTCATTCATATTCTAGTGCATATAAGACATGAAAAAAGAGGTACATGCCAAGCAGATTGGGGTAATCAAGAAAAGCTTCTTGAAGACAGTGTCATTTAATTTGATCCTTAAAGAACGGGTATGATTTCAATAAGTGCAGATGTAGGAAGGACCAAAGTTTTTTCAGTAAAAATGTCGGGAAAGAATATCATTTTTTTTCTTATTCTTTAAATATCCTGTATCAAACTTTGTGCAACTTGCCTATTTGGTGGTGGTGGGGGGATGCTGTTCATTAAACCCAGGCCTTCTGCATGACAGTTAGATGTTCTACCACAGAACTACACCATTTTTTCTTTCTTTAACTCAACATGACTTATGAGAATTTTTTAATAAATATCAATTTCATTCATTTTAATTGCTTTTACGTTCCATTATATAAATAAATAAACCACAATTTATTCCCTCCTGATGGGTAGTTAGTAGTTAGTTGTTGCCATGTTGTTTTTCCTTTTATTGCAGAAGCCTGCAGTTGTCATCCTTCTTTGTTGTTGTTGTTGTCAATGGGTCTTTATTTATATGGGGTGTTAAGAATCAAACCCAATGCCTCACACATGTTATGCAAGTACTCTACCACTGAGTTACAACCCCAGCCCCAGTTGTCACTCTTTTTTTTTCTAGAAGTAGTTGCACACAATACCTTTATTTTATTTATTTATTTTTATGTGGCTCTGAGGGCCTTGCACATGCTAGATGATCGCTCTGCCACTGAGCCACAATCCCAGCCCCCAGTTGTCATTCTTAAATGTATCTATTGGATACCTTTTTTTTTTGGTACTGGGGATTGAACTCAGAGGCACTTAACTACTGAGCCACATCCCCAGCCCTTTTTTGTATTTTGTTTAGAGAAAGGTCTCAGTGAGTTGTTTAGCACCTTCTAAATTTCTGAGGATGACTTTGAACTCATGATTCTCCTGCCTCAACCCCTTAAATTTACCACTGGATTACAAGACTGAGCCACCATGCCTGGCTTTGTGATACATTTATGTAAAAATTTCCTTAGGGAGGAACTTTACTATCTAACCAATTGTTCTCCAAAGTAAATTATAAGAACTTCATAGTTTTTATTTCCAAGACATCTACCCACACTTCATTGTATGGGATCTTTCTTTCTTTCTTTTTTTTATTTTATTTTATTTCTTTGTAGTGGGGATTGAATCCAAGGCACTTACCACTGAGCTACCTGCCCAGCCTTTTTTTTTTTTTTTTTGGCAGTTGTATATGGACTGCATGCCTTTATCTTATTTGTTTATTTTTGTGTGGTGCTGAGACTCAAACCCATTGTCTCACACATGCAAGGCAAGAGCTCTGCCACTGAGCTACAGCCTCAGCCCTACTGCCTAGCCTTTTATTTTTTTTATTTTGAGACAGGGTCTTGCTGAGTTGTTTAGGGCCTCATTACATTTCTGAGCCTGGCCTAAAATTTGTGATCCTCTTGTCTCAGCCTCCCAAGCTGCTAGGATTTCAGGCATACGCTACTGTGCCCAGCTTCCAGGCTGGTCTTAAACTCCTGGGATCAATTAATCTTACCTCAGCCTCCAGAATACACCTGATTACTTTTTTTAGAAAATTTTTTATTCTAATTTGTTATAAACCTGACTACATGGGGGGGGGGCGCGCAGGTAGTGGTGTTAGGAACTAAACCCAGGACCTCATGCATATTAGGCAAGCACTCTACCATTTCACTACATCCCAAGTCCCTAATTTACTATAACTTTAAGCCTTGCTCTTTGGTACAAAACAGCTCCCCCTTTACCCCCTCCATTTTATTCTTCATCAGAATTATCTTAGTTCTTTTCGGCCTCCTATCCTTCTATATGATTTTAGAAACAGCCTGGGGCAACTTTTAATGGAATTGCATTAAAATTATAGATTATACATTTGTAGGATAATTCAGGCACAGTTACGATCTTCTCATCCTTGAACATGATATATTTCTCCATTTATTTAGAGCTTTTATTTTTTTTTTAAGAGAGAGTGAGAGAGGGGAGAGAGAGAATTTTTAATATTTATTTTTTAGTTCTCGGCAGACACAACATCTTTGTTGGTATGTGGTGCTGAGGATCGAACCCGGGCCGCATGCATGCCAGGCGAGCGCGCTACCGCTTGAGCCACATCCCCAGCCCTAGAGCTTTTATATCTTTGAATAAAATTATACTTTTCCTCCTAAAGGCATTATTTTACTTGTTGAATTTATTTCTTGGTATTGAGTAGTTGCCGATGTAAATGGTATTTTAAACAATATTTTCTAATTATACATAGTTATACATAAATACACTGTGTGTGTGCTGGGGGGGGGGGGTGCTAGGGATTGAAACCAGGGCCTTGTGCATGCAAGGCAAGCACTCTTCCAACTAAGCTATATCCCCGGACCCAACACTTTTTCTTGTTTGTTTGTTTGTTTATTTAT